TGGCTTCGCGGCCGCGGTGCAGCTCCCCAGGCGTCGTGCCGCAGCAGAGCCCCGCAAGCTTGCCGTGGTCTCCTCAGTGGCCAGCGCTGCCCCGAGCGACAGCATGGCGAACGACACGCGGGCCATGGCGCTCACACAACGTCTGCACCTTGCACTCTGTGCACTGAGGGTTCCCACAAGATCGATCAACTTGAGCCAAACCGAAAACGGTCCGCAAATCAGGGAAATCCGACCGTCGTCATTTGACATGAGGCCCCTGCGGGGCGTGCTCGAGGCCAGCCCAGAGTCGAAGAGTCTTCTCCCCCTCCTATCTCTAACCTTTCCTCCACCCACAATTACTCAATCTGAATATGACGTCCCCTTCTCCCCTGGCCCAGTGCGGAAGTTGACCCACCCTCTCTTCAAACGTTCATATCCCGCATGTTCTGTTTTTCAACCCGATCACGATCGGTCCTTCAAAATGCCCAAGAGAGTCCAAGACGGCCCAAGACGGCCCAAGATGCCCCCCAGAGGCCTCCAAGACGGCGCAAGAGGCCTCCAAGAGGTCCTCCAGGAGGGCCCGAAGAGGCCAAAATCATTGATTCGACTTAGGTTTTTGCAAGATTTTGGCATTCGCTTCTTCTCGGCTTTCCGACGACCCAAGACGGCCCAAGTGGCCTCCAAGATCGCCCCCACAGCGCCCAAGAGGCCTCCAAGAGGTCCCCAAGAGGGCACAAAGACGACCCAAGAAACCTCCAAGACGCCCAAAATGGCATCTAAGACGGCCCTGGAGCACCCCAAGAGGGCCCCAAGTCGGCCCAGAAAGGCCCCCCAAACGGCTTCCGACGGCGTCAGACGAGCCAGAAGCCCACCAAGATGGCCGAAGTTGGCTCGAAGCTGGCCAAAGACGGCCCAAGAGGCCTCCGAGAGGGCCTCCAGGAAGGCCAGAAAAGGCCAAAAACACAAATGTTACGTAGGTGTTTGAAGGATGTTGACATTTGCTTCGGTTCGGCCTTCCGACGGCCCGATACGGTCCAAGAGCCCCCAAAGATCGCCCAAAGATCGCCCAAGAGGCCTCCAAGAGGTCCCCAAGACGGCCCCAAGAGGCCCCCAAGATGGCCCAGGAGGCTTTTTAAGACGCCCAAGATGGCATCTAAGACGGCCCTGGAGCATTCCAAGAGGGCCCCAAGTCGGCTCAGAGAGGCCCCCCAAACGGCTTCCGACGGCGTCGGACGGACCAGGGGCCCAACAAGACGGTCGAAGATGACCCTAAGATGGCCCAAGACGGCCCAAGAGGCCTCCAAGAGGGCCTCCAGAAAGGCCCGAAAAGGCCAAAATTATTCATGATCCCATGAGTTTTTGAAGGATTTTAGCATTTGCTTTGTTTCGGCCTTCTGACGGCCCGAGACGGCCCAAGTGCCCCCAAAGATCGCCGAAGAGGCCCAAGACGGCCCCAAGAGGCCCCCAAGACGGCCCAAGACGCCTCCAAGACGCTCAAGGCGGCCTCCAAGACGGCCCAAGAGCCCTCCAAGACGTCCTCCAAGAAGGCTCGAAATGGCCTCTAGGCGGCCAAGATGACCTTCAAGATGCCCACGTGTTCCCCGAAGGCTTTCCAAACCGATTCGGGGAACACATGGTCCGATAGCTTGGCGGGTCTCGCCTCAACGTGCGGCCACATAGGCGCTTCCAAAAAGGCAGGGGGCGGCGGTGATTCGCCGTAGGCGCTTTCGATCCGCCGCCCCCGGTCCAAGACGGCCCAACAGGCCCCCAAGATGCCCAAGATGCAGTTCCTATCGTCAGATACCCGCTGTTCAAAGATCCCGCACCCCCCCCTCCCGCTCCTCTACAACAACTCCCATCCTTCCCATCAGCAGTAACACAATACCACCAGCCCTCTAGCGCGTGAATGGTTTAGGGCGTTTCCTCTTTGACAAGAGGGCTGCCCATCCCCCTACCCCCCCTGGGTTTGGAATGGGAGGGCCGCGGGTCGTTGGAACGACCACGATCGCCTCAGCGGGAGCACACATCATTGATTTGACTCAAGTGTGGGGCTCAGTCGTAGTAGTAGTAGTAGTAGTAGTAGTAGTAGTAGTAGTAGTAGTAGTAGTAGTAGTAGAGGCAGTAGTAGTAGTAGTAGTAGTAGTAGTAGTAGTTGTTGTTGTCGTAGTAGTAGTCGCAGTTGTCGTCGTAGTTGTTGTCGTAGTAGTAGTCGTAGTAGTCGTAGTAGTAGTAGTAGTAGTAGTAGTAGTAGTAGTAGTAGTAGTAGTAGTAGTAGTAGTCGTGGCAGCAGTAATTGTCGTAGTCATAGTGGTCGTAGTAGTAGTAGTAGTAGTAGTAGTAGTAGTAGTAGTAGTAGTCGTAGTCGTAGTAGTCGTAGTAGTCGTAGTAGTACTAGTAGTAGTACTATCAGTAGTAGTAGTAGTAGTCATAGTACTAGTAATAGTATGATAACAATAATAATAAGAATAGTAGTAGTAGTAGCAGTAGTAGCAGTAGTAGTAGCAGTAGCAGTAGTAATAGTAGTGGTAGTAGTAGCAGCAGTGAGAGTACTAGCAGCAGTCGTAGTAGTAGTAGTAGTAGTAGTACGAGTACTACTACCATTACTACTACTACTACTACTACTACTACTACTACTACTACTACTAATACTACTACTACTACTACTACTACTACTACTAATAATAATAATAATAATAATAGTAATGATAATGTTGGTAAGTAATGGTCGTGATCGCAGTAGCAGTAGTAATTGTGATAGTAATAGTGGTGGTGGTAAAATAGTGACAGTCGTAGTAATAGTAGTAGATGTAGTAGTCGCAAACGTAGTAACATCCCTTTAGTAGCGTCAGTAGCAATAGTGACTGTCATAGCATGATTGCTACTAGTGGGAATAGTAACGGTAGTAGCGACAGCAATCGTAGCAGTAACAGTAGTGGTAGCAGTAAGCGTAAAGCCATAACAATACGGATCGTAGTAGCGGCAGTAGTGGTAGAGGGGTGGCAGAAGTAGTAGTGGTGGTAGTATTAACCGTGATGATAGTAATTAAAAAAAATTACTGATAGAAGCCGTTGTTGTAATAGAAGCAGTAGTAGCAGTAAAAGTAGTAGTACTAGTAGTAGTAGTGATAGTCATAGCAGTCGTCGTCGTAGTGATAGAAATAATAATGGCATCAGCAGTCGTAGCAGTAGTAATAGTAGTACGAATACTAGTCGTGGTTTTTGTAGTAGTGGTGGTGGTGGTAGTAGTAGTAGTAGTAGTAGTAGTGGCAGTAGAAGTGGTAGTAGTAGTAGTAGTAGTAATAGTAATACGAATGGCTGCAGTAGTCGTCGTAGTCAGCAAAACAGTAATTGTCTTATATTAGTAGTACAGGTAGCAATACAGCGGATGGAAGATTAACACTAAACTGATCCGTAACGTTGAAATCGCGGCATTCAGAATCCGCGGGTTCCAAGCTGGGCGCGATCGACGGCCGCCGCCGAAAATGTAAAAAACAAAACGAAACGCGAACCACAACTGCATGTTTTTGGGCACCATATCGTCATGGGCCAGACTGCATTCGTCTTCTTTGAACATGCAATATTCCAACGTGATGATTTGGCTGCGCGCTATTTTTCGTTTACATCCACGGCTGCCATCTCGTAAACGGGGGGCCTATGGCATGTAGGATCGCCAGAGAGCGTCTCATTAGCTGCAGCTTCAGCTGCGCCATTGTGGCGGCACCAGTCCGTCGCTCTAGCTCGGGCCTGCCGAAACCATAGCGAGCCCTTCTGAATTCGGGAAGTTTTGTTTCTAAATTCTTCGCCACATGAATACCACTCAGGCCGCTGCTTCCGTGTGCCGTCCTAGCCTGACTCAAACGAAACGCCGATGAGATCGCCAGAAATAACGCTATGGGACGTTGTGCTGCTTTCTGGTGCTAGCCTGGCTATGGCGAAACGATCCTGGGATCGCCAGGAATGGCGTTCTGGGACGTTACCGTTTTGCTGTCCTAGCCTGGCTATGACGAAACGACGACCAAAGCCACGAAGTGCGACAGGGTTGCAATTTTCCAACGCTATGAATGAGCTATTGGAGCTCTGGCACAAGACTTCCTCATCAAAACGACGCCGACCATAACGTTGAGCACTCGTTACTTAAAATAATTCAGCTGTTTTTAAACGTGTACTCAATGATATGATCGGCGTCGTTTTGGTGAGGAAGTCCTGTGCCAGAGATCCAAGAACTCATAACTTTGAAAAATTCCAACCCTACCGCACTTCGTGGTTTTCATCATCGTCTCGTCATAGCCAGGCTAAGACCGGGACAACCGTAACGTCCCAGAACGCGATTCCTGGCAATCCCAAGACCGTTTTGTCATAGCCAGGCTAGCACAGGAAACAACGTAACGTCCAGGAGCGCCATTCCTGGCGATCTCATCGGCGTTTCGCTTGAGCCAGGCTAGGACAACAAACGGAAGCAGCGGCCCGACTGGTAGAATCGGAGCCCCGTATCGTGCACAGAATTCAGAAGGGGCCCTCGAATCGGCCTTGCAGGAAGGCCGTGGATGGAAACGATTAGCGCAAAACTGATTCCTAACGTTGGAACTTCTCCGTTCCGAGTCCCCTTCTCCGATTACAAAATTCCACGATGGGGCCTTCTTGGGAAATTGCAGGTTCGCATGACACGCGTCGACGAGTAGAGAAAAAATAGCACATTGCGAATGAGAGGCATCCCAGGAGACCCTCATATTCATCCAAGAGCTCCTGTTCCTCCTCCTTCCACCTCCTTCTCCCCCTTCTCCTCCTCCTCCTCCCCCTCCTCCTCCTCCTCCTCCTCCTCCTCCCCCTCCTCCTCCTCCCCCTTCCTCCTTCTCCTCATATCGTCTTCTCCCCCTCCTCAAACCTGGGACTCACCCGATGTTGAGTGGGAACGTCTTTCGTGAAAGACTTCTTCATTATGCTGGCCCCTCCTCCTCCTCCTCCTCAGCAATCTCATTCTCCCTCCTCGTCCTTCGAAAGACCCACGGAGACATGTATGGTTCGCTCCTGGGCTGCATGCTGCCTTGCGTCCCTGATCAAGGCACCTCGATTGGGGATCGTTTCTGGATGGATTGCCAGGTGTACGCGAAGCGTCAAGATTTCCTACAAGTGCGGTTTGTGTTAACAGCGCGTCTGCGAGGTGCCCCGGGCCCCCACAACGGTCCAAACTTTTGGTGATGGGAAGCACTGATAGGATGCTAGTGTATCTCCATCATCTACGAATCATGCACTCTGTACTCTCTTCCGCACGCTCTTGGCTGGAAGAGGCAGTGGACCGAGCCTGAAAAAGCTGGGTATAATGCATCTCAACCCCTTCGCCCACCACAAGAGTTCTAAAATCGGGGAGACCCTCTCCTCGGGAACGCTCACCATGATTAGAAGTGGCAATTGTTCTGGTTCTGGTTTCCCTCCCGGCACTTCAAGGCGCCAACGGACGTCCCATCTTGGCAATCATCTCCATGGCCGCCCTCGCCAGTGCCAGTCATCCACGAGCAATCGTAGCCCTCGTAGTCAATCGGGTTGGTCACGTAGTGCGCATACCAAGTGCAAGTACGGTCGCCTGCATGTACGGACGGGATGTGCTCGAAAACTCCGTTCAAGATCCTGCACGTCCTGGCGCAGCCATTCGGCTCATCGTCGCAGAAGTCGTCGCAGTAGCTGTCGCACCTGCACTCGTGCGGTGTGCCCTCGGCGTAGTTTCTCGTGTAAGTCATCCCGTCGCAGCCCTCGTCGGCGGCCAGTGCGGCACCGAGAGACTGGATAGATGGGCACGCCTCACCATCGTATGAAGGCCCACCGATCGCCGAGGCATCGCAATACCGGCAGCCCGAGTCCTCGACGCACCCTTGCCCTGGGCAGGTCGGGTCCTCGAAGCACCAGATAGCCGAGTTGGAATGCGGGGCTGCGCAAGGTTTCGCGTCCACAGTGCAGCCCGAAGACGGCGCTGGCGAAGGGCACGCCTCACCATCGTACGATGGCCCTCCGATCGCCGAGGCATCGCAGTACCGGCAGCCCGAGTCCTCGACGCACCCTTGCCCTGGGCAGGTTGGGTCCTCGAAGCACCAGAGAGCCGAGTTGGAATGCGGGGCTGCGCAAGGCTTCGCGTCCGCAGTGCAGCCCTCGTCGGCGGCCAGTGCGGCACCGAGAGACTGGGTAGATGGGCACGCCTCACCATCGTATGAAGGCCCGCCGATCGCCGAGGCATCGCAATACCGGCAGCCCGAGTCCTCGACGCACCCTTGCCCTGGGCAGGTCGGGTCCTCGAAGCACCAGATAGCCGAGTTGGAATGCGGGGCTGCGCAAGGTTTCGCGTCCACAGTGCAGCCCGAAGACGGCGCTGGCGAAGGGCACGCCTCACCATCGTACGATGGCCCTCCGATCGCCGAGGCATCGCAGTACCGGCAGCCCGAGTCCTCGACGCACCCTTGCCCTGGGCAGGTTGGGTCCTCGAAGCACCAGAGAGCCGAGTTGGAATGCGGGGCTGCGCAAGGCTTCGCGTCCGCAGTGCAGCCCTCGTCGGCGGCCAGTGCGGCACCGAGAGACTGGGTAGATGGGCACGCCTCACCATCGTATGAAGGCCCGCCGATCGCCGAGGCATCACAGTACCGGCAGCCCGAGTCCTCGACGCACCATTGCCCTGGGCAGAGGTCGGGTCCTCGATAGCACCAGATAGCGAGTGGACTAGGCGGGGCTGCGAAGGTTTCGCGTCCACAGTGCAGCCCGCAAGACGGCGCTGGCGAAGCGGCACGCCTCACCATCATACGATGGTCTTCGATCGCCGAGGCATCGCAGATAGTCTGCAGCCCGATCTCGACGCACCCTTGCCCAGGGCAGGTTGGGTCCTCGAAGCACCAGATCCGCCACCGTGCCTGCACGATGTGGATAACCTACGGTGTGAAGCACTGTCTGGCGGGGTTTTTGACATCTTTCAAGGGACCCCCCCTCGCGCCACGCTTCACTGTATGCGCACCGCCCCCCCCCCACCCACCTCCCGAGGGTTCCTGGGCGCCCCAACGCTACTTTGGTGCACCTAGAAGCGTGCAAAATGCTCAAGCTGGCTTCCAAGATGGCCCCGGCAGGCCACCAAAGCCGCCAAGATGGCCCAAGACGGCACTATGGTGGTTCAACATGGCAACAAGACGCCCAAAGATGGCTTCTAAACGGCTCGAAGGGCCCCAAAAGACGGCCAAAGAGTACCGCAAGATCACCAATATCGTCATACATCCCCAGGCCGAAGGTTCTTTCCTCTTGGACTGAGAATGTGAGAGCACCGATGGATCCACTTGGATCCCTGCTCGGGTGTACAATAGTATCGTACATCCTCTTTCTGTCTTGCGCGGATCCAATGTCCCGCGTGTGGAAAACCAATGGATCCATTCATTTTCCGGGAATGAGAATATACAACAACAACAACAACAACAACAACAACAACAACAACAACAACAACAACAACAACAACAACAACAACAACAACAACAGCAAGAATAATAATAATAATAATGATAACAATGATGATTAACATCCCGCTCCCAAGGGAAATGGGACCCGCGGGGCACCGCACGCGAAGCATCATGCCATCCACGGAACTGTGGATCTGCTGACCGAAGCTGTGCTTTTTCGGGGGAGGGATGGTCTTCCCAGGACGGAGAGAGGAAGGAGGAGAGAGGAGGCACGAGGGGGGAGGGGAGAAGGGACGGGAGGAGGGAAGACAGAAGAGGAACAATCGGGGAGGAGGGGGGAGGGAGGGAGAAAGGGTAGGAGAAAAAGGAGGGAGAAGGGATGCGGAAGGAGAAAAGAGGAGGGAGGAAAAGGTGGGAGGAGGAGGGAGAAGGTGGGGGGAGGACGGAGGAAGAAGGACGGGGAGCATAAGGACACACAAGCAAAATGTCAGTATCGGAAGCTCGAGCACCATAGCGGGCCCAGCCACCTCCCTCAACTCCTCTCCTAACATGTGGTTGCTCGAACGCCACAGCGGGCCTGGCCTTCTCTCAGAAATCCTCCCATAACATAAGGTTGCTCGAACGCCACAGCGGGCCTGGCCAACTCCCGCATCTCCTTCACTAGGATATGGCACGCCCCAAGCCGAAAGGAGCGCTACATATATACATATATATATGCGTTCACATGAACGGCACGTCGCTTCCGACAGTTTGGGCTCAAGAAGAACATAGTTCGGCCTGCGGAAGTAATCACCATCACCACCACCAACACCACCACAGCCATCATCATCAGCATCATCATCAGCAGCAGCATCATCATCATCAGCAGCAGCATCGTCGCCAATAACAACATCATAATCATACTCCCCATCATCATACTCATCATCACCACCATCAGCATCACCATCACCATCACCATCACCATCATCATCCTCATCATAATCATCCTCATCATCATCATCATCAGCATCATCATCATCATCATCATCATCAAGCAGCAGCATCATCATCATCCATCATTCATCATCATCATCCATCATCAGCATCATCATCATCATCATAAGGCATCATCAATCATCATCATCATCATCATCATCATCATCATCAATCATCATCATCATAATCATCATCATCATCATCATAATCAGATCTAATCATCATCATCATCATCACATCTCATCATCCATCATCATCATCATGAGATCACATCATCATCATCATCATCATCATCATCATCATTCGTCAATCATCATCATCAGCATCAGCATTAGCATCATCATCTCATCATCATCATCATCATCTCATCAGCGGCATCATCAACCATCATCATTATCATAAATATCATCATCATCATCATCAATCATCATCATCATCATCATATCAAGCAGCATCCTCGTCATCGTCGTCATCATCTGCATCATCATCATTAACATGTGCCATCCCCGCCGATCGTAAAAACCATCGTCAGCGCCTTTCTCATCCTCCTCAACAGCGAGCGCGTCGCATTTTACGCCGCTCCCGAACCTCGGGGCACGCGTAGGTCAGACAGTACGGTCTTCCATTGTTCGCATCTTTGAGTAGTGCCATCCCCAGGTGCTGGGCTGACAAGATGGGCGGGAAAGTTGCCGCAGGCAGCTGGTAGATAGCCGAGTTTGAGTGCGGGGCTGCGCATGGCTTCGCGTCCGCGGTGCAGCTCCCCAGGCGTCTTGCCGCAGCAGAGCCCCGCAAGCTTGCCGTGGTCTCCTCAGTGGCCAGCGCTGCCCCGAGCGACAGCATGGCGAACGACACGCGGGCCATGGCGCTCACACAATGTCTGCACCTTGCACTCTGTGCACTGAGGGTTCCCACAAGATCGATCGACTTGAGCCAAACCGAAAACGGTCCTCAAGTCAAGAAATGTCGACCGTCGTCATTTGACATGAGGCCCCTGCGGGGCGTGCTCGAGGCCAGCCCAGAGTCGAAGAGTCTTCTCCCACTCCAATCTCTCACCCCTCCTCCATCCACAATTACTCAGTATGAATCTTACGTCCACCCTTCTCCCCTGGCCCAGTGTGGAAGTTGACCCACCCTCTCCGCGCAGTGCTTGTAGACAGGGCTCAAACGTTCATATCCCGTATGCTGTGCTTTACAACCCGATCACGATCGGTCCTTCAAAATGGTGCTGCCGCTGCAGCGTCGTTGCCCCGCCGCTCAATATGGCACGATTGCGCCAGCACGGGCCACTTTTCTGGAACCGAGTCCGTCCTCATTTGTGTCGCCTCCCTCCTTGCATCTCCCCATCCTTTCCCCTACTCCGCCTTGCCCTGATCCTCCTGCTCCTCCCGCTCCTTCCACTCCAGCTCATGTGGCTGCTGTTCGTCCTCTTCCTCGTCCTTGCTCCTGCTGCTCCTCCTCCTCCTCTTCCACCTCCTCCTCCTCCTCCTCCTCCTCCTCTTCCTCCTGCTGCTCATATTCCTGCTCATCCACCACCTCCTCCTCCAGTGTACGCAACTCACCTTTTCCGATTACGAATAACACGATGGGGCTTTGTTGGGGAATCCCAGGTCCGTATGACACGCGTCGGCGGTCAGAGAAAAAATAGCACCATGGGAACAAGAGGCATCCCAACGAAGCCTCATATTCATCCAGGAGGCTCCTGCCCTACAGCCCAGGCACGGTGACGGACTGGGCCGAAGGCCACTCGATCCGCCGCCCCCCGGTGGTCTTGCCACAAGGGCGCCTGGCGTGCTGAACCCTACGGCTTCGTTGTGGTTCTTTTTCAAAAAAACTCCCTCTGGGGCTTCGGCCCAGCGCGCCGGCCACGCGGAAGGCTCCCAAACGAGCACGGCGTCCACAAACAAATCTCCAAGACTGCTTCAGATGGCTTCTAAGATGGTCACGTGGGCCCAAGATGGCCTCCAGGATGGCCCAAGATGGTCCAAGTTGCCTCCAAGTCCGCCGAAGAAGCCACCAAGACGGCCCAAGATGGCTCCAAGATGCCTCCGAGTCCTCCCAAGAAGCCTCCAAGATGGCCCAAGACAGCCAAGAGGCCCCCAATACGCCCCCAAGATGTTCTCCAGGAGGGCCCGAAGAGGCCAAATTCATTGGTTTCCCTTTTGTTGTTGAAGGATGTTGACATTTGCTTCTTCTCGGCCTTCCGAAGGCCCAAGAGGCCCCAAAAATCGCGCCAAGATGGCTCCAAAGGCCCCCACAATGACCTCATGACGGCCAAAGAAGCCTGGAAAACAGTCCCAAGAGGGCCTCCACGTTCGCCCAAGATGGTCTGAATTGGCCTCCAAGACGGCCCAAGAGCAAGATGACTTCCAAGACGGCCCAAGCGGGTCCAAGATGCCTCCAAGTCCGCCCAAGAAGTCTACGCGACGGCCAGAGAGGCCCCAAACGGCCCAGGAGGCATCCAAGAGGTTCCCAGGAGGGCCCGAATATGCCCAAATCATTGATGCTCCTTAGGTTCGAGAAGGATTTGGGCACTTGCTTCGCTTCGGCCTTCCGACGGCTCGAGACGGCGCAAAGGCCCCCAAGACGGCCCCAAGATCGCCGAAGAGGCCCCCAAGATTGCCCCCACGACGGCCCAAGAGGCCCCCAAGACGGCCCGAAAAGCACCCCAAGACGGCCCAAGAGGCCCCCAAGATGCCCAAGATACCGTTCCTATCGTCAGATACCCGCTGTTCAAAGATCCCGCGCCCCCCTCCCGCGCCTCCTACCACAACTCCAATCCTTCCCATCAGCAGTAAAGAAATCCCACCAGCTCTTTAGCGCGTGAATGGTTTAGGGCGTTTCCTCTTCCAACCCCCTTGTTGCCCTTTGAGAAAGGAATTGCCCATCGCCCTACCCCCCCCCCCCAGGTTTGGAAAGGGAGGGCCGCGGGTCGCTGGAACGGCCACGATGGCCTCAGCGAAGGCACACTTCATTGGTTTGAAACAATTTGAGGGCTCATACTAGTAGTGGTAGTAGTGGTGGTAGTAGTAGTAGTAGTGGTGGTAGTAGTAGTAGTAGTAGTAGTAGTAGTAGTAGTAGTAGTAGTAGTAGGTAGTATAGGTGGTAGTAGTAGTAGTAGTAGTAGTAGTAGTGGTAGTAGTAGTAGTAGTAGTAGTAGTAGTAGTAGTAGTAGTAGTAGTAGCAGTAGTAGTAGTAGTCACAGCAGCAGCAGCAGCAGCAGTAGTAGTAGTAGTAGTACTAGTACTAGTAGTAGTAGTAGTAGTAGTAGTAGTAGTAGTAGTAGTAGTAGTAGTAGTAGTATACATAGTAGTAGTTATATCAATACAAATGCTGGTGCAGTAGCAACATGGAAAACTAGTATTATTAGTAGTAGTCGTACTAGTAGTAGTATTAGTAGTAGTACTATTAGTAGTAGTAGCAGCAGTAGTAGTAGTAGTAGTAGTAATAGTAGTAGTAATAGTAGTAGTAGTGGTAGTAGTAGTAGTTGTTGTAGTCGTACGAGTAGTAGTACTACTACTACTACTACTACGACTACTACTACTACTTCTTCTTCTACTACTACTACTAGTACTACTACTACTACTACCAGCAGTAGTCGTAGTAGTAGTAACGGTGAGTAGTGGTAGTGGTCGTACAAGTAGTCATAGTAGTAGTAGTAGGAGTATAGTAGTGCTAGTGGTAGTAGCAGTAGTAGTAGTCGTCGTCGTCGTAGTCGCTGCCGTAGTAATAGCTTAGTAGCATCATCAGTACTAGTAGTGGCTCTCATGTTGTGATTCGTCAGCGGCAATGATAATAGTAATGGCAGCAGCAGTAGTAGTAACAGTAGTGGTAGCAGTAAAGATAAAATCCTAGCAACACTGATCGCAGTAGCAGTACTAGTGATAGTGGTGGTGGTACTATTAGCACTCGTAGTCGTAGTAACAATAGTAATAAAAATAGAAATACTAGAAAGGTAAAAATGATAATAACCGCTGCCGAATAAAAATACGAGTGGTAAGAGTAGAAGTATTGGCAGCAGCAGCAATAGTAGCAGTAGTAACACTAGTAGTAGTTCTGATAGTAGTAGTAGTAGTAATAGTGATCGTAGTAGTAGTAGTAGTAGTAGTAGTAGTAGTAGTAGTAGTAGTAGTAGTAGTAGTGGTAGTAATACTGGTAATGATAGTAGTAGTTGTAGTACTACTACTACTACTACTACTACTACTACTACTACTACTAGTAAGAGAAGAAGTAGTAGTAGTAGTAGTAGTAGTAGTAGTAGTAGTAGTAGTAGTAGTAGTAGTAGCAGTAGTAGTAGTAGTAGCAACACCAATATAGTAGCACTAGACGCCATAATTAGCGTAATAATAACTGTTATTATATGAGTAGTGGTAGCAATAAAAGCACTACAGGCAGCAATACCGTGGATGGGAAAGCTGACGCGAAACTGATTCGTAACGTTGGAATCGCGCCAATTCAGCGTCCGCGGGTTCCAAAATTGCCACGATCGGCGGCCGCCGCCGAAAATGTAAAAACCAACCGAAAAAAAACGCGAACCACAAGTGCATGCAATTGGGCACCATATCGTCGTGGCCCGGACTGCATCATCTCCTCTGAAAGGCAATATTTCAACGTTACGATTTGGTTTCGCACTATTTGTTTACATCCACGGCTGCCATCTCGTAAACGGGGGGCCTATGGCCTGTGGGATCAGAGAGCGTCGTGGGGATATGTCTCATTAGCTGCAGCTTCAGCTGCGCCATCGTGGCGGCACCAGTTCGTCGCCCTAGCTCGGGCCTGCCGAAACCATCGCAAATCCAATTGAATTCGGGAAGCTTTGTTTCCAAATTCTTCGCCATATGAGTACCACTCGGGCCGCTGCTTCCGTGTGTGCCGTCCTAGCCTGACTCAAGCGAAACGCCGATGAGATCGCCAGGACTGGCGCTCCGGGACGTTGCGCTGCTTTGGTGCTAGCCTGGCTATGACGAAACGATCCTGGGATCGCCGGGAATGGCGTTCTGGGACGTTACACTTTTTTGTCCTAGCATTTACGAATACTCAATGTTATGATCGGCGTCGTTTTGGTGAGGAAGTCCTGCGCCAGAACTCCAAAAACTCATTCACAACGTTGGAATGTTCCAACCCAATCGCATTTCGTGGCTTTCATCATCGTTTCGTCATAGCCAGGCTAAGACCGGGAAAACCGTAACGTCCCAGAACGCCATTCCTGGCGATCCCAGGACCGTTTTGTCATAGCCAGGCTAGCACAGGAAACAACGTAACGCCCAGAAAGCGCCATTCCTGGCGATCTCATCGGCGTTTCGCTTGAGCCAGGCTAGGACGGCGCACGGAAGCAGCGGCCCGACTGGTAGAATCGGAGCCCCGTATCGTGCATAGAATTCAGAAGGGGCCCTCGAATCGGCCTTGCAGGAAGGCCGAGGATGGAAACAATTAGCGCGAAATTGATTCGCAACGTTAGAATTTCTTCATTCAGAGCCCCCTTCTCCGATTACGACTAACACGATGGGACCTTCTTGGGGAATTCCAGGTCCGTATGACACGCGTCGGCGGGTAGAGAAAAAATAGCACATTGCGAATGAGAGGCATCCCAAGAGACCCTCATTTTCAACTAAGAGCTCATGTTCCTCTTCCTCCTCCCACCTCCTTCTTTTCCTCCTCCTCCTCCTCCTCCTCGACCTCCTCCTCTTCCCCCTTCCTCTTTCTCCTCATACCTTCTTCTCCCCCTCCTCAAACCTGGGACTCTCCGGATGTTGAGTGGGAACGTCTTTCGTTAAAGAACTTTTCATAATGCTGGCCCCTCCTCCTCCTCAGCTTTCTCCTTCTCCATCCTCGTCCTTCGAAAGACCCACGCAGACATGTATGGTTCGCTCCTGGGCTGCATGCTGCCTTGCGTCCCTGATCAAGGCACCTCGATTGGGGATCGTTTCTGGATGGATTGCCAGGTGTACGCGAAGCGTCAAGATTTGCTACAAGTGCGGTTTGTGTTAACAGCGCGTCTGCGAGGTGCCCCGGGCCCCCACAACGGTCCAAACTTTTGGTGATGGGAAGCACTGATAGGATGCTAGTGTATCTCCATCATCTACGAATCATGCACTCTGTACTCTCTTCCGCACGCTCTTGGCTGGAAGAGGCAGTGGACCGAGCCTGAAAAAGCTGGGTATAATGCATCTCAACCCCTTCGCCCACCACAAGAGTTCTAAAATCGGGGAGACCCTCTCCTCGGGAACGCTCACCATGATTAGAAGTGGCAATTGTTCTGGTTCTGGTTTCCCTCCCGGCACTTCAAGGCGCCAACGGACGTCCCGTCTTGGCAATCATCTCCATGGCCGCCCTCGCCAGTGCCAGTCATCCACGAGCAATCGTAGCCCTCGTAGTCAATCGGGTTGGTCACGTAGTGCGCATACCAAGTGCAAGTACGGTCGCCTGCATGTACGGACGGGATGTGCTCGAAAACTCCGTTCAAGATCCTGCACGTCCTGGCGCAGCCATTCGGCTCATCGTCGCAGAAGTCGTCGCAGTAGCTGTCGCACCTGCACTCGTGCGGTGTGCCCTCGGCGTAGTTTCTCGTGTAAGTCATCCCGTCGCAGCCCTCGTCGGCGGCCAGTGCGGCACCGAGAGACTGGATAGATGGGCACGCCTCACCATCGTATGAAGGCCCACCGATCGCCGAGGCATCGCAATACCGGCAGCCCGAGTCCTCGACGCACCCTTGCCCTGGGCAGGTCGGGTCCTCGAAGCACCAGATAGCCGAGTTGGAATGCGGGGCTGCGCAAGGTTTCGCGTCCACAGTGCAGCCCGAAGACGGCGCTGGCGAAGGGCACGCCTCACCATCGTACGATGGCCCTCCGATCGCCGAGGCATCGCAAATACCGGCAGCCCGAGTCCTCGACGCACCCTTGCCCTGGGCAGGTTGGGTCCTCGAAGCACCAGAGAGCCGAGTTGGAATGCGGGGCTGCGCAAGGCTTCGCGTCCGCAGTGCAGCCCTCGTCGGCGGCCAGTGCGGCACCGAGAGAAGGGGTAGATGGGCACGCCTCACCATCGTATGAAGGCCCGCCGATCGCCGAGGCATCGCATACCGGCAGCCCGAGTCCTCGACGCACCCTTGCCCTGGGCAGGTCGGGTCCTCGAAGCACCAGATAGCCGAGTTAGAATGCGGGGCTGCGCAAGGTTTCGCGTCCACAGTGCAGCCCGAAGACGGCGCTAACGAAGGGCACGCCTCACCATCGTACGATGGCCCTCCGATCGCCGAGGCATCGCAGTACCGGCAGCCCGAGTCCTCGACGCACCCTTGCCCAGGGCAGGTCGGGTCCTCGAAGCACCAGATCCGCCACCGTGCCTGCACGATGTGGATAACCTACGGTGTGAAGCACTGTCTGGCGGGGTTTTTGACATCTTTCAAGGGACCCCCCCTCGCGCCACGCTTCGCTGTATGCGCACCGCCCCCCCCCTACCCACCTCCCGAGGGTTCCTGGGCGCCCCAACGCTACTTTGGTGCACCTAGAAGCGTGCAAAATGCTCAAGCTGGCTTCCAAGATGGCCCCGGCAGGCCACCAAAGCCGCCAAGATGGCCCAAGACGGCACTATGGCTTCTAAACGGCTCGAAGGGCCCCAAAGACGGCCAAAGAGTACCGCAAGATCACCAATATCGTCATACATCCCCAGGCCGAAGGTTCTTTCCTCTTGGACTGAGAATGTGAGAGCACCGATGGATCCACTTGGATCCCTGTTCGGGTGTGCAATAGTATCGTACATCCTCTTTCTGTCTTGCGCGGATCCAATGTCCCGCGTGTGGAAAACCAATGGATCCATTCATTTTCCGGGAATGAGAATATACAACAACAACAACAACAACAACAACAACAACAACAACAACAACAACAACAACAACAACAACAACAGCAAGAATAATAATAATAATAATAATAATAATAATAATGATAACAATGATGATTAACATCCCGCTCCCAAGGGAAATGGGACCCGCGGGGCACCGCACGCGAAGCATCATGCCATCCACGGAACTGTGGATCTGCTGACCGAAGCTGTGCTTTTTCGGGGGAGGGATGGTCTTCCCAGGACGGAGAGAGGAAGGAGGAGAGAGGAGGCACGAGGGGGGAGGAGGGGAGAAGGGACGGGAGGAGGGAAGACAGAAGAGGAACAATCGGGGAGGAGGGGGGAGGGAGGGAGAAAGGGGTAGGAGAAAAAGGAGGGAGAAGGGATGCGGAAGGAGAAAAGAGGAGGGAGGAAAAGGTGGGAGGAGGAGGGAGAAGGTGGGGAGAGGACGGAGGAGGAAGGACGGGGAGCATAAGGACACACAAGCAAAATGTCAGTATCGGAAGCTCGAGCACCATAGCGGGCCCAGCCACCTCCCTCAACTCCTCTCCTAACATGTGGTTGCTCGAACGCCACAGCGGGCCTGGCCTTCTCTCAGAAATCCTCCCATAACATAAGGTTGCTCGAACGCCACAGCGGGCCTGGCCAACTCCCGCATCTCCTTCACTAGGATATGGCACGCCCCAGCGAAAGGCGCGTACATATATACAGATATATATAAGATATATATATATATATGCGTTCACAGAACGGTCACTAGACGCTTCGACAGTTTGGGCTCAAGAAGAAACCATAGTCGGCCTGCGGAAGTAATCACATCACCACCGACCAACACCACACAGCATCATCACAGCATCATCATCAGCCAGCATCATTCATTCATTCAGCAGCAGCATCGTCCGCCAATAACAAAACATCATAAATCATACTCCCCATCACATACTCATCATACCACCATCAGCATCACCATCACCATCACCATCACACATCACCTCATATCACATCCTCACATCATCATCAGCACATCATCATCATCAGCATCATCACATCGATCAGAGTATCAGCATTCATAATCAGCATTCGCCCATCATCATCATCATCATCATCATCATCATCATCATCATCATCATCATCATCATCATCATCATCATCATCATCGTCATCATCATCATTCATCATTCATCATTCATCATTCATCATTCATCATCATCATCATCATCATCATCATCATCATCATCATCATCATCATCATCATCACAGCATCCTCGTCATCGTCGTCATCATCAGCATCATCATCATCATTAACATGTGCCATCCCCGCCGATCGTAAAAACCATCGTCAGCGCCTTTCTCATCCTCCTCAACAGCGAGCGCGTCGCATTTTACGCCGCTCCCGAACCTCGGGGCACGCGTAGTCAGACCGTACGGCTTCCTGTTCGATCTTTCGAGTAGTCGCCATCCCAGGTGCTGGGCTGACAAGATGGCGGGAAGTGCCGCAGGCAGCTGGATAGCCGAGTTTGAGTGCGGGGCTGCGCATGGCTTCGCGTCCGCGGTGCAGCTCCCCAGGCGTCTTGCCGCAGCAGAGCCCCGCAAGCTTGCCGTGGTCTCCTCAGTGGCCAGCGCTGCCCCGAGCGACAGCATGGCGAACGACACGCGGGCCATGGCGCTCACACAATGTCTGCACCTTGCACTCTGTGCACTGAGGGTTCCCACAAGATCGATCGACTTGAGCCAAAACGAAAACGGTCCTCAAGTCAAGAAATGTCGACCGTCGTCATTTGACATGAGGCCCCTGCGGGGCGTGCTCGAGGTCAGCCCAGAGTCGAAGAGTCTTCTCCCACTCCAATCTCTCACCCCTCCTCCATCCACAATTACTCAGTATGAATCTTACGTCCACCCTTCTCCCCTGGCCCAGTGTGGAAGTTGATCCACCCTCTCCGCGCAGTGCTTGTAGACAGGGTTCAAACGTTCATATCCCGTATGCTGTGCTTTACAACCCGATCACGATCGGTCCTTCAAAATGGTGCTGCCGCTGCAGCGTCGTTGCCCCCGCCGCTCAATATGGCACGATTGCGCCAGCACGGGCCACTTTTCTGGAACCGAGTCCGTCCTCATTTGTGTCGCCTCCCTCCTTGCCTCTCCCCATCCTTTCCCCTACTCCGCCTTGCCCTGATCCTCCTGCTCCTCCCGCTCCTTCCACTCCAGCTCATGTGGCTGCTGTTCGTCCTCTTCCTCGTCCTTGCTCCTGCTCCTCCTCCTCCTCCTCCTCTTCCTCCTCCTCCTCCTCTTCCTCCTGCTGCTCATATTCCTGCTCATCCACCACCTCCTCCTCCAGTGTACGCAACTCACCTTTTCCGATTACGAATAACCTGATGGGGCCGTGTTGGGGAATCTCGGGTCCGTATGACACGCGTCGGCGGTCAGAGAAAAAATAGCACCATGGGAATGAGAGGCATCCCAACGAACCCCCATATTCATCCAGGAGGCTCCTGCCCTACAGCCCAGGCACGGTGACGGATTGGGCCGAAGGCCACTCGATCCGCCGCCCCCGGTGGTCTTGCCACAAGGGTACATGGCGTGCTGAACCCTACGGCTTCGTGTGGTTCTTTTTCAAAAGAACTCCCTCTGGGGCTTCGGCCCAGCGCGCCGGCCACGCGGAAGGCTCCCAAACGAGCACGACGTCCACAAAAAAATCTCCAAGACTGCTTCAGATGGCTTCTAAGATGGTCACGTGGGCCCAAGATGGCCTCCAGGATGGCCCAAGATGGTCCAAGTTGCCTCCAAGTCCGCCGAAGAAGCCACCAAGACGGCCCAAGATGGCTCCAAGATGCCTCCGAGTCCTCCCAAGAAGCCTCCAAGATGGCCCAAGACAGCCAAGAGGCCCCCAATACGCCCCCAAGATGTTCTCCAGGAGGGCCCGAAGAGGCCAAATTCATTGGTTTCCCTTTTGTTGTTGAAGGATGTTGACATTTGCTTCTTCTCGGCCTTCCGAAGGCCCAAGAGGCCCCAAAAATCGCGCCAAGATGGCTCCAAAGGCCCCCACAATGACCTCATGACGGCCAAAGAAGCCTGGAAAACAGTCCCAAGAGGGCCTCCACGTTCGCCCAAGATGGTCTGAATTGGCCTCCAAGACGGCCCAAGAGCAAGATGACTTCCAAGACGGCCCAAGCGGGTCCAAGATGCCTCCAAGTCCGCCCAAGAAGTCTACGCGACGGCCAGAGAGGCCCCAAACGGCCCAGGAGGCATCCAAGAGGTTCCCAGGAGGGCCCGAATATGCCCAAATCATTCATGCTCCTTAGGTTCGAGAAGGATTTGGGCACTTGCTTCGCTTCGGCCTTCCGACGGCTCGAGACGGCGCAAAGGCCCCCAAGACGGCCCCAAGATCGCCGAAGAGGCCCCCAAGATTGCCCCCACGACGGCCCAAGAGGCCCCCAAGACGGCCCGAAAAGCACCCCAAGACGGCCCAAGAGGCCCCCAAGATGCCCAAGATGCCGTTCCTATCGTCAGATACCCGCTGTTCAAAGATCCCGCGCCCCCCTCCCGCGCCTCCTAC